TCTCCGTCTCCATCACTTCCTCCTCCTCCTTCTTGATGTGAGGTTTTGCTCTATAATTTAGGCAGCACTTAAACTCATGCCAGCCTGGGTAGAATTCATGCAATCCTCTTGCTTCAGATTCCCAAGTTCCAGGGTGACAGGTGTGCCCCCCCATGGCCAGCTATTTTGTTTGTACATTTTGACAAAGATTCTTTCTGTGAGGTTCAGGCAGTCCCTGAGTTCACTGTGTAACGCAGGATGGCCTACAACTTGTTTCTTAAATTTCTTGAAGTAATTTCCTCAAACTTTCTTCTTTTATCGTGGTGCTTTCCCTGCCATGGCATTTGCATTTGCTTGCTGATGTTTTCAGAGAGCATCTCGAGGTCACGTGCAATGTAAGGAAAGAGCAGCCCACCCCGAACCGTGGACCACTGTTACCGCTTTAGGATTTTTAGCTCTAGGCTTACAGGACATCCTCACATCTTTGTCACTCTTTCAACTTCTCTGTCATAGAGGAAAACTAATTACTTCTTTGTTCTCTTAGGTTTACGTGCTATGTGGAAAGCCACACAAGTTTGCTACATTGTATACCGGAGTGATTTGTATAACAGGTAACTGGATGTTTCCCTATCCTAGATCATCGAGACGTTTCTAACAGTGAGTGTATCTAGTGATCAAAAGTGGATAATCTGGATGCTTTATCGCTTCTCTTACCTCTCTCCCAGAAACATGTGCCTCCTGTCCGTTGCGATCACTTGTGGGTAGGGCATGCGTGCCTGATGCATACGCTGATCTTGAATATAGGCAGTTTGGAGCATCTAAGAGAAAACAGATTTACACCTCATTTGTTGGAATTGTTCTGAAATGCTGTGTTTGTTTTCGAAAATGTGATGCTCTTAATTTCTTTCAGGGAAATGAAACACACTTACAGGGCTGTCAGGGGCTAAATGCTGTCACTCAGCCTCGGAGTGGATATTTTGGGCATTGTTCCAACAGACCATAATCTGAAAGATAATGACTCCGGTTCTGCTTTTCCCAGATGTTCCTCCTGGTGCGAGCAGCTGCCATTGTTACACTTGTAAACTCTACGCTTGGCAGAGCTTGTGATCGACTGTGGAAGACGCCGATGTCTGTCGGCTTCTGCCTGGCAAAGTTCTGTTCTGATTTAAAACGGGAGCAGTGTGGTGTCCTTTGAGTGACAAGAAGCCCCCTAGGAGAGCCTGGGGATCTCAGGTGCACGGCATGCACATCGCCTTGGATTTTCTCTTTCTCTTGCTTGAGTGAACCACTCTTGTGATGCATCATTTGAATATTCTTGGACTTCCTGAAAAACGTGCTTCAAGGACACATGCGCATGTCTGGGCCCTCAGCTGTCCTAATGGGAAGTGTAAGATTAACTAAGGAAGAATTTTCTGCTACTGTATGTGGAGGATGATTCCTCATCAGGAATTCATCTTTGTTCACCTGGGCCCCTTTGTGCCCAATGCCAAACTTGGAAGACAGCTGGAGACAACTAGAGATTCACACACACATAAGTTGTGCCTGTGTGGGTTGTGTTTGCTGTGTAGCGAAGGAACTGGCAACCTTGGTGTCTTTAGAATCCTTGTCCCCAGTTGGCTCTGTGAGAAATTAATATTTAGCATGGTCAGAAATAAAAGAAAATGGATTTAGTAGTATTATAATCAAAATAATTCAAATTTCCTGCATCATAAATCATGGAATGGTCCTAGACATCTCACCAGATGTGAGATAAACAATTTCAGGAACATTAATTCTTGGACAGCAGTCACCCTACTATTAGCTTTTCTCTTAAATGGTGATTTTTTAAATAGATAGTTTCCCAGAGTGTTGTGTATTTTGTTCAGTTGTATTTGAAAAAAACATATATTTCCAACTTCTCTCATTGAGGTGGTATTGCAGAGCAGAATCTTGAATGGCAACTTCTAATAAAAGAAAAAATGACCTCGATCCAATAAATATGAATATTGTTCAGTATTTCTTTGGGGTTTCAGTTTCTTTCTTTCCTTTTTTGTATAATTTCTCCTAGGCTTCAGCCTCAGAAGTACACTCAATATCCAGCTTTTGGAATCCACTCTAAATGCCCATCTTTTCTCCACTTACTGGCAAAGCTTTCAATTTGCATAAATCCTGCATTTCACCAAATTGTAGCATATCTCCTATCAGCTCTATTCTCCCTTGAAGTGGTTCCTCTTTTGGCTGCTCTGTTTCTACTTGTGCAGCCTCCTTTGCTCAATCACTCAAGTGTTCAATGTGGGTCATGATTGCTTATCAGTGGCATTCACAGGGCTCTGTGCTCCTTACACGTCCGAACTGTCACCTTTTATCCTCTGCTGCCGAGTGCATACTGTGCTCCACTGTAGTTGTTGAGGCAACATTTTTGGAATAAATGAATATATGTACATTAGCCTTTGCTTGCTCAGATATTTTTCTTAGGGTTAAAGAAATTAAGTACATGATCAAAGAATTTGAATGCCAAATCAGAAGTATCAAAATTATCAAACGAGAAGCTTCCCAGTCTCCTTCTGCATCTGCAAGCTCCTGCTGTCTCTCGTGTGTGTGACCAGGAGTCTTAGCCCCTTACACGTCCTTTGTTTCCTTTGGTGCACACAGACATGTACACACTTACAGTCTTTTCATTTTTGTATGTAACATCACATGTGTAGCATACAACACACACGTGTATGCTATTGTTTTTTATGTCAACTATTTGGGAAAGAAGATCTTGACATTTAATGTGATTATTTTGTTCCTCCTGTCTAAGCTGTACTACTTGGCCTGGTGAGGGGTCACCAGCCCTCATTAACTTTTTTTTTTTTTTTTTTTTTTGCATTGATAGACATGAAGAATGCCTTGAGAGGTTACCTTGTATCATTTCAACTCTGGGCGAGTGAATTCTTGGAATATAATAGCTGGCTCCACATTCACAGTGCTGACAATACCAACTTACCCCCAGAGGGTTGGTGCTGCTTTACTCGGGCAACACGTGAGCATCGCTGTTTCTCTGAAGCCTTGTGAAAGGCCCAGTTATCGACATGTATAATTTCCCCCTAAGTGGCTAGGGACAGTGTGTTTGTGCGAATTTTTCCTCTGGAGTTCACTTAGAGTAAGTGCTGCTGCTCATCTTTCCACATGTGTAAAGATCACTTTTTAGTGAATGGCATGTTCATGCCCTTTCTGCGTGGTGTTGGGTTGGTTTCTAATTAACTAAATTGCCAAGGCTTGAGCCTTAGGAGAAATCTGAACCTTTCTCCTCCGTTCTTTTCCCAATTACTACTAAAGCCGACCACTAAAGTCAGCTCAACTTGGTTTAGGATGAAATTTCATGCTAAGAAACTAAGGAAATCCATTTATCTATCTATCTATCTATCTATCTATCTATCTATCTATCTATCTATCTATTTATCAGACACAGGATCTCACTACACAGACTCACAGTGATCCTCCTGTCTCAGCCTCCCCAGAGCTGTGATCACAGACGTGTGCCACAGTGCCCGAGGTTCTGGGGTAGCACGGCACTATCTCCCCAGGGCTAGAAAGCCTTGATTTTAAGCACATTTATCAAACTCTTGAATTGAGTTTTGAGACTTAAAGACGTTTCCCACTTCAAAGCTACAAAAGGATACAGCTACACCTTATTCTAGTATTCTTGTGGTGTTTTGGATACTTTTCTCTCATTGCTGAGACAAAATACCCAATGCCCAAGATTCAGAAAGGAAAGGTTTACTTAGTTGACAGTTTATGGAGGTTTCCGTCTATAATCAATTGGCTGTAAAGCAGGGTGGCACATGGCAGAGGGGCGAGAGTTCATGGTAGCAGAAAACAGCAAAAGTGGCAGGAGCAAACGAGGCAGAGAGCAGAACCTCTTTTGCTCCCCTGTATGACTGTAAGCAGGCTACCTGCACTAGGGCAGGTGTACCACTCACCTTCTGTTGCAAAGGCTCCGGATGTTGACAAAGTGAGGACTCCGACTCCCTGCTGAGCCACTTAAGCTTCTGGGCTCCTCAAGTTGACATGCTTTAATGATTTTTCACATAAGCATTAGTTATCATTGGAATTATTATTGTGCTGTACAAACGTGTCACAAGATTTGATTCCCATTTGCTTCAAATTTCTCACTAGCTGTTTTTTCCTATACTTTGCTTATATTTTATTTTTTATTAGGAAATACCTGCAGCACAGACTGAGTGCCCTTCTTGCTGGGCATCTGTGCAGGTGCAGTGTGCATCTTAAGTCTCTTACTCCCCGCCCCCTCTCTGCTCTGTCCAGCTCTCATTCCCATTTCCACTTTTTCTTTAAGTCTCCTTTTTCCACCCTTTACGCCTTTGTTCCCTTCACTTTCTCTTGTTGCTCTTCCCATTTGAAAAAAATCCCCCCATTCCTCATTATATAGAAATCTTTTTTCTACAGCATCATTACATAAGTTTCATTTTGCTCTTAATGCTTTGGGCTTCTCATAGGAGATAAGCCATGCACTGTTTAATCTTTTATTCATTTGTTACAGGGTTTTGCTATGCAACTCAGACTCCTAGTGGTCCTTCTGTCTCGGCCTCCTCAGTGCTGGGGTTACAGGTGTGCGCCATCACACCCAGTTTCGGTGGCTGGTGCAGCGCTGGGCTAGCATGGCATACAGTACTGGGGCTCGAACCTGGGTGCTTGTGCTTGTTAGGCAGGTGGCTTAGATCACTGGGCTATCTCTCCAGCCACCAATATCTACTCTTACACATCTGAAATATTTCACTTGACCGCACTGCATCCATTGACCTATGTATTGGTCAGGGTTTTACTTAGAGGAACAGATATAATATAAGGAACAGATATTAACACAAGATTTACAATGTATAAGGAATTACAAGGTTGGCTTACGACAGTCAGCCGCAGAGTCAGATGGAGGAGTGTGCAGACGCCGTCTGCACACTCCAAACTGAGGAGTTCAGTCCCAAGGTCTGAAGCTCACTGCTGTGCTCCGTGCAAGTCTCTATTTGTCAGCGGATGGGTCTGCGAGGGAAGACTGAAGAGTCCGCGACAGAAGGTGGAGGATCCAAGCCGGAGGTGGAAGAGTCTGCGCTGCAAGCCAGGCGACGACGTCCAAGCCGAATGAGAAGACTGAAGTTCCAATGAAGTGAAGTGTGACTACTTCCTCAGCGCCTTTATATGGTCTCTTTGTGCTGAGTCTCTCTCGGGGTAGAACCAATTGTGTCCCAGGGCGGGACCCCCACCAGCCGGAAGTGCACGGGGGAGTCATCCAGCCAAGTTGACACAATGCATCAACCACTACAACCTACAACTAGTTATTTGGACCCCTTGTTGAATACTCTTGTTTTGCCCATTTATTCAATAAGGTAGAAAACAACTTTTACTTCATACTAACTTCTCACTTTTAAATTGGAATTTTCCTAGACATTTTACATTCTGCATTATATTTGATGGCTTGTGTAAGCACCAGCACCATAGCGTTTTATGTACTAAGACGAACCCAGAGCCTTCGCATCTCCAGCTCATTCAATTATTTTGGTTTCAGGACAGAGTCTCAGGAGGTCACTAAGTTGCCAGGTTGAGCTTGAATTTTACTCTTTCTGTCTCTGTCTCCCAGGTGGTAGGATTACTGGCATGTTCAGCCACTTTTATATTGTCATTGATACCCTAAAATATACACTTCAATATGTAGCAACACCAGTAATTCTTTACTGCTCTTCTGGTTCAAGTATTTCTTCAGGACTTTATTTCTCCTTATTAATGTTATAACCATGGGTCTAGTTCCAAATAATATGAGTTTGGCATTTTATTAGCTGCATTCCAAGTAAGCAAATACATTTGCAGAGAGAGAATTGATTTTGTGTTGCTTAAATTTTCCTCTGTGAGAGCATCTTATATACTTCCTTTCATTGAACTCTTGATTTTTGGTTTACAGTGTAGTTTCAGTGTTGTTTTCATATAAATACAATTACATAGGGATGAAATTTTATAAAAATTCATATAAAATTTATACAAGTCATGTTAAATTTATTCCGAGGTGTTTTGTAAGTTAACATTTTAATATGAAATAATTCTTTCCATTATATCTTCTAATTTGTTATTGTTTGCTTTTATAAAGTAATTGATTTCTTTATATCAGTCTTTGTTCTGAGTATTTTATGAACTTCCATATTGTTTATGGTATTTTTATTATACTTTAGTTTTATACAGGTATTCATCCAGTTAGTTCAATTTGATACTTTTGGTTCTGTTCTTTATGTTTTATAAATCACTTTTATTATTTTTGTTTTATTTTTGCCCACTTCCTCTTTTTTAGTATTTATTTATTTATTTATTTATTTTTATGTACTTAGTACAGGGTCTATAGGGTCTCACTATGCAGCTCAGACTCACAGTGATCCTCCTGTTTTCAGCCTCCCAAGCGCTGGGATTACAGGCGCACACCATCACACCCACTCTCAATCGCTGGCTCAGGGTGTCCTGGGGGTGGAGCTGGCAGGCACACTGGGAAGCGAACCCTGGCCCCTGTGTCTGCCTCTAAGCAGGTGCTTTAGTCCACTGAGCTATCTGGCCAGCCCTTGACTTTCCCTTTTATCGTAGTATACTCACCTGACTTCAGTGAAAGTGCTGTTTTCTGATTATCGTTCCTTTCTCTGTGTATGTATGTATGTATGTATGTATGCACATATGTATGCATACAATTTAGCATCTACACAATTGCATTTAATATTTGTATGAACTTTGGTCCTGCGGAGCTGGGCTCTCCAGGAGGCTGAGACAAACGCGAGACTGCCCAGGAGAAACGCCTGCGAACTCTGAAGGGCTGCGAGGGGGAAGAGGCTGGAGGGGCGGCATGCTGCGTCGCAGGCCTGCCCCGGACAGTGGAAGTGAAGCAGACCAGAAAAATCTGTGGCTCCCGCCCTGTGTAAGATCTAGTCGCGTCACCGAGATGGGAGACCTGTGCAGTCCTGAAGGAGGGCATCCTGCAGGCCTGGAGGATCAAGGTTTCTGGCGCCTTTGCCGAGATTACACGCAGCAGGAAGTGATTCGGTGTGTTTGGGGGACCCAGAGAGAGACCCTCGAGGGCGCCACTCTCTGTGCTCCCCCGGCTAGCAGTCTCTGAAGGGGAGCTCCGAAGAACAGGTCTGGGACTCCCGTCGTGTCTCACTACTGGTTCTCATTTACATTTCGTAGAGTATGCTCACGTTCCTCCTCCAGAGCACGCTGGAATTCTCCGCAGGGAAGGGCGGCGTTCCCACAGCCCTGCAGGTGTTAGGAAGCTCCTCTGCTCAGAGACGGACAGGTTGGGTCCATGTCGCTAACACACCTGCGACCCAAAATGAAGCAAACATATGAAGCACAAATTTTACACCTGAAAGTGGTGAGTTTAGAGTAGTTGTTTATCATGGTTTCCTCAGAGACAGCATAGAAAAGAAGGAAAAAACGTAATGCCCTTTGAGCTGGGAAGTAGGAGAAACATGAATCTTTTAAAATCTGCAAAGCAGCTCGTAACAGACACAGGAGTAATTGGGAGGCAGGTAAGCCCACTGCAAGCCCTGGTTATCATCACTGATTAATTCACTCTGAGCCGGTCCTCCTTTGGACACAGGGAAATAACATTTCCGGGCATTTGTTTTGCAGAGGCATGGTCATGTGACCACACTGTTTCCAGTGGAATGGGAGTGTGCACGTCCTATAAGTGTGGATTTCTTTTTTCACTGGATTCTGATTACGGTGATGAGGAAGCGGGAGTTGGGAGATACACAGCATAGAAGAGCTGCTCCTGAATGCTGGCTCTTTGTCAAGAAAACCCACCCAAGCTTCTTACATACAGGGGAAATAAGCACAAACCAAGTTTGAGATGTGCCATTAATTATTGAGCCTACTCATTACTTAGAATGCTGATATATAACCTAGTGAGAATTGATGTTAATGCATAAAGACTATTTAATTCACAGTAGTTGCTCAAAAATATTTAATTCCTGCCTTCCTTAGTGGCATGTCCACAAGGCATTTGAAAAGGCACAGCTTTTAAATAATAAAAATAAAATTTAAATAATCTAAATTTAGGCTATCTCCAAGATCTAAATAAATCATAGTCAAATTCTTATTGTTATTTTACAGCACTTTATCCCTGTAGAAGATAACAGTAGATGAGCCATCCAACAGGAGGAGTATGTTCCATATTTTTTTGGTTCTGGGACCATCATTACTAACTTACATAGTTAAAAGAAAAACCTCATTCCACAAGTTATGAATTATCCTACAATAACAATGTAAAAACAAGCTTTTGCATTTTTCTTAGACAACAGTTACGACAGGGAACTTCTGGGCACCCACCAATGTCTGCGAAACAACGAACTCAGCAACATGCAAAGAGATGCTTTTGCTGTGGCAGTTATTTTAGGCATGTGCATTTTAGCTGATATGAAATTCGCAACAAACAACAGGAAATAATCACGTACCCTAATTAGTATGAGCAACAAAGATTTCCACCGATCCAGTGCAGCCCCACCCTTCACTGTGTTTCTAATGCCCTCCCTGCCTCTGTGCTTGGATTTGAGGGCCTGCGCATAATTACACAAAATAACACAGCTACTCTGCTGCCAGGGCCAGCAGGAAGCGTTTGCACTCCCATCTCACTTCAGCTTCCAAGGAATTCTTTGGATTACATATTCACCACCACTTGTAGATGGCCTCAGTGAAGGAAAATCGTAAAAATGGGAGTGGACCCAAGAGTGCAGAGGTAAATCAGGACTGGATTACAAATTCAATTGGTGCCAAACCCACCTTTCCTTCCACCAGACAGCACTAATTTACCTGGGATTATATTTGTGAAATTGCAATGTATTTCCCCAAACAACTGAAATCCTAAACTTTTAATAATTCGTTTGTAAAGGAATATTTCCGAAGCCCAATGTTTTGGAAGATGTGTCGCTCCTATACATATTGTGTGTGTCTTGTGGGCCGTGTAATCATAAAAGAATGCCAATTTCCATCACCCGCTTTTCCAGGAGCAGGCGACAGTCTCCTTGTGATGTGCTCTCCTTCATGCATTTGTAGACCTTACAAAGGCAGGGAAGGGTGTGGCGTTTCCGAAAGTATAAGCTCATTTTCTATTTTTAGTTAGTGTGCATCAGTTATACAGATTGTCTGCTGGGGCATTTTGGTACCCACATGAAATGCACTTTGGTCATTTCCACCCCTTATCACACACCCTTGTTCCTTCCTCCCCCCCTCACTGCTGCCCTTCTTCTTCTCCAGTGGTCTCTCTTCTACTGTTATGTCACCTCCCTTTCCCTCTTTTTTTTTTTTTTTTTTTTTTTTTTTGCTTAAATATCACAGGAAAGCTCAAATATGCTGCATTTTCTCTCTTCAAGTCCGGCTAGTCTTGTCTATCATGGTGACCTTTCAGTCGTTGTGTACTGCTAACACAGAAGACTCCTTTCCGAGGTATGAAGGCAGAACTGGTGGTTACGATCTAAAACTGATTTATGATGCTGATTTTTTTCCCTTGGGAGTCCTTGAAATTCCGTTTTCTCTTACCTTTGGTTTACCCATAGGATAGACATGGTTATGTTAATGTCTGTCCCATAGAACTATTGTGTCAACTTAATGAGGTGCATAAAAGCTGCTTTGAAATTTAGAACCTGCTATGCAAGCTTTACCTATCATTACCACTAAATTGGGAAGATTTTGGTGCTCTAGTTCTTCAAGCAGTCTAACAACAGCTCAGATCTTTGAGAATTTACTCAGCTCTTTTGCCGATGGCTTGACTCACAGCACAGTGTCCTTGCACTACCTGTTCTGATTGGTTAGGGAGGGACTGTATCCTTGTTATGCAAGATTGTGCGCGCGTGTGCGGGGGGGGGGTGTTGTGTTAGACTGTGGAGAACATATGTACGTATCTGTACTTAGAAAGTGCTCTTTTCCTTCTCTTTCAGCACAGTAACTTTCCTCTGACCGTTTCCTTTAGCTGCCTTTCCAATCTCTTTTCCAACCATGCCTCTTCTGTGCACTTGTGCAGTGGCTCTGCTCTGTGTGTTCCTTCCTTCCAGGTCTGAAACTCCTCCCACTGCTATCTGTTGAACTGCCTCCAAGTTTTCTTGGTGCTTTTGAATTTGTAGTCACAGTTCACTGAATCAAATCACAGAAGAGATAAAGGCTGACCCAGCATTATGTGCTATTTTCAAAGGGCTGCTCATGGGTGTTTTATAATGAACGTTAAATCTAAATACTACGTTGAAACTAAGTGACAGACTGTATTTAAAGTTTCATAACTCCTTCAACAATCATTAGGTCTTTTGCTCATGGAGAGAATAAATAGGCAATGTGTTTTTAACAAAACACAATGTGAAATATTGAGAAAAGAGAACAGAACATGGGGGTGATCGTGAACCCAGATACAATGACTAATGTCATGGTCAAGTGCACATGTTTATGGAAGTTGTTTTCAGGGACAGGTGGATGAACTGTTTGCCATACATAAATTTCAAAATATGATATAATAAAACAGCAACTGGTTGGGGTTGTCCGGAATGTGGATGAGGGGCACATCCAAACATATAATATAGACAGCTTATTAATTTCACCTAAACCCGTGAAGTGCTACTACCTCTATCTGTTTTGGCCATATTTCGTGCATTTTGTGAAGTTTGGTGGTATCTGGCTTTAAGGGCTCATGAGAGGAGCCCCTTATGGAAGGCCCTGGCTCAGGCAGGGAAGCCTCCTCCTCTACAGGCAGAAGGATGGCCGCTCAGGCTGCAAACTCCTCCTGGGGTGGTTCTTGCCACCCTAAACACTGTTCTGGGAACCTCTTGTGTTGGTGCGGCTCAGCCTCAGGGGCAGCGGCCAGGGGGCACATCGGCTTGTTCACGTGCCAGTGTGGGGGAGTGTTGGCATTAGCGTCCTGCATCCCGGATACTGAACTGAGACTGCAGTGGCCTCCTGGAAAGGCAGCACGTGAGAGGGAGCAGGAAACGTGAGGTGTGCCGAGCCTTTGCAGATTGTTTCTGATCATTAGTCTTGAGAGAGATGAGGAACTGTGTCATAGTGCTAAGGATGTCTAAAACATTATTTGATGTTACGCATGTGCAGTTTGGCAGCATCTTCTGCGGTCAAAATTATGCTCTCAGAAAAAGTTACAATGGCTTTTATCTCACCTCCCTCTATGGACAAGAAACCAAATCAAATGTTAGCTGTATTTTCTCTACATTTTTGCATCGTATTCAGTAAAATAGAGGCTTTAACTTCAAAAATTTGTCAGAACAATACATTTTCCAATTAAGACAGTGCACATGAATTTTCAACAGTAATTTTAATAATATTAAAATGTCAAAATATTCTGTTTTCTCTTACATATTTTACAAAATAGAAATAAAAGTCTCTGAAGGATCATCAAATCACACGGTCAAATTCAAGTTATGCCTGCAGAATTTGATTGGAAAGTGGTTTTTTAATGTGAACAAGTTATTCCCTCAATGGCAGGGTCCATGTCCACAACAGGATATGCTGTGAAGGGGCCTTCAATGGTCAGGTTAGGAGCTTAGGTAATGAGACCAACGTGGAAGGTGAGGAGCAGGCGGTCACAGAGCTGTCACTGTCTCTGTGCTCAGTCCCACTATGTCCATATCCAGGCATCTCTACCTTCTTGCAAGAAGAGAGATAAGTCATATTTTCTTGCATTGCCCTTTCTGATGTGTGACGATAGGGTAAGAGACTACTTGGAAAGCAGTTGGTCATTACTTTCTTTTCTGGAACAATTTAGGGACTCTGAGTCTATCCTGTAATATGAAAGCTGGAACCCAGACAGGATCTGGCCCTGGCCGCCCCTCCCCTCAGGTTGTCCTGCAGGCCATTAGCATATCACGTGCCACACATATCCCCTGGTCCTTGGTTTCAAGTAAGCTGGCAGTTTTGTGTGGGGCATTTGATCTGTTCTAAGCATTTATTTCTGTATTTTTATTTCAGTCTGGAATAGAATTTGGAAGAGTTCAAGAGCTCTTTTGCTAACTTTCTCAAGTGGTGATGTCCTTCAAGCTTGAAGACCACAGATTTTAATGGCTTCTGCTTTAATCATTGCTTTTGACAGAATCTTTTCATACCAGGTGTGCTATTTTAAAACATTGCCATGTTGTCTGCTCATCTCTAAAACTTCCTTGAGATCTCTTGAACCTGTAGGTTGTTTATATCTCTTACTCGTAGACAATTAATATATGCTGAGTATTCATAATGCTAATTAATCCACAAGAAGAGAAAATAATGAATCACTGTGGTGATACATATTATAAACTCATCTGATTGCTTTTTTCATTTTGATTACTGGAAAATCAGTCATTTCCTGGCAGTTAATCAAATACCACAGTGATTCCCCCCATCTGAGTTCTAGTTATGTTGTTTATTCCACTTATTTTTTGACTGATAAAATTTTTTATAACTGTAACTATCTTTCAGATTTGATTACTGGTGCAGTTCACAAACTCATTTTTTCTCATATATCTTTTCATGTGATAAAAAGTGATAGCTTATTTATCAGTTGGTTAAAATGTTATTTCATTAGTGACAGTATTATACACTTATATAGCCATAAAATTACTATCGTTCAAGAATTTTTCATGGAACTCTTATTTAGCAACTATGTTTAATTATGATATCAAAAGATGTATGGGTTTTTTACCCTTTCTGCTCATCAATATTTGCCTCAAGAGAGCAGAATTGAATCTTTCATTTTTGACATAATCAAGATCAATAGACATAATTAAGATATACTTAGACAAAATTGTCCATTCCTTGGTTTCAAGGCCTTCTTCTTTTTCTTTTTTTCTGGTGGAACCAGGGATTGAACACCGGCCCTCGTGCTTGCCAGGGAAGTGCTTATTCCACTGAGCCATCTCCCCGGCCCCTTCAAGGTCTTCTTATCAGTTATTCCATGTCTGCTTCTTTGGTAATTAACTTCTCTCTTCCTTCCGGATTATGCGTTGTGATAAAACAGGAATGAATACAATAATAGTTCTGTACAACCATCACCACCTTCTATTTTCAGAACTCTTTATCTTTTGAAACTAAATCTCTATGCTCACTAAACAACTTCTTTTTTACCTACTTGCAGGATTTGTCAACTGCTGCTCTACTTCTGTTGATATTTTGGCTCTTGGAGGTACTTCCTATAAGTAGATTCATGCAGTATTTGTCCTTTTGAGATGAACTTGTTTCCTTTCTTTTCACATATTAAAATTTTTAAAAAAATTATTCATCTACTCTTGTAGGAAATGAACAATGGCTACTATAGTGCATATTGCTATCTTCAAAGTAGTTGCTCAGATTACAAGATACAGGTGTACAAAAATAGAATATGAGCTTTGCTTCTTTCGTATTTTACATAGTGTTGTGTCTTTTGGTTGTTTCCAAGGTAGACTGTATGTCCAAATTTCTTTTCTTTTTAAAGTTGAAAAATATTCTATTGTATACATATACCATTTTTATTGTCTAAAACTTATAGAAAGACAGTAGATCTCTTCATGCTTCTATAAGCATATACAACTATCTCTTGGGGACCCTCTTTTCAATTCTTTTGAGAATATACCAAGAGATAGTACTATGGTTTGTGTCTAGATGTCCTCCCAGCTCCTCCTGCAGTCATGCAGTGAACTTCTAGAGTTTTTGATTGGTCCAGGGTACAATGCTGGGTTTATGGGTGTGAGTGCTACACCCACCCTGGGGTGGATAGTCTGAATGCAGGAGAAAGGAGGGAGAGGGGCTTGCTTTCTGCCAATCCTCCATTTTTGCTTTTTCTGTCTTCCACCATCATGAACTGCTGCCTTCTGCCATGTTCTACTAAGCTATGGAGCTAGCCAGGTATGGAATGAAGCCTCCACAAACTGTGAGCTAAATAAGCCTTTTCCTTTCTTAATTCTTGGCATCAGATATTTTGTCTCAGCAATGATAGAAAAGTAACGAAGACATGTGGAATTGCTGGACTGCATACAATATTCTGAGGAACCACCATGTTCCTTTTGACAACAGCTGTA